TCCCCAATTACCATCCCCAACCCTAACCAACTCTCCTCCTCTCCATCCCTGTGCCCTTCCTAGTTACGCACTCCCGTCTGTCCAGTTGCCCCTCTGGTGCCCTGTGGCCGACTGCTACAAGGGATGTATCTCCATAGAGTAGGTAGGTGCATCACCCTTGGTTGGGTGTTCTGTATTTAAGTCTTATTACTGTTGGGCTGAGAACCAGCCCTTGGGAGTGAGTTTTATCCCAGGCCCAAAGTTTTATCCAGGGCCATAGTCCTAGGGGTTTTACCAGACTCCATCTGACCAGTAATTCTTGTCATCATTGTGATTTTGAATCTTGTTCCATGTTTTCCCTCCCACTCTATCCAGGATCTCCACTTTTGTTCCCTTCTCAAGTGGCTGGAATTGGTAGCCGAGCACCATCTAGTTCTTCTGGTCTCAAGGTCCATCATGTCCTTGGGCTGACTGTTTCCAAATGCCATTGTTTTTTTTCACTATTCTTTGCTTCCGACAACAGGAGACTATTAGCTGCATGTTATGGCCACTAGAAAGCTTTTAAGACTCCAGTTGCTATTCACCAAAGTAGGTTGCAGAACAAGATTTTTTTTTAGTTTGTTTTTTTTTTTCATTGTGATTTGGGTGAAAATTTACACAGCAAATACACTTTCCATACAGCAGTTCACATACACTTTGTCTCATGACATTGACCACAATTTACCACAATGCAACAGCTTCCTCCTGACAGTTACCTCTTCCCTGTGTCCATTCCTCATGCATTCCTGCCCCCTGAGCTGTCTCCCTGTGCACAAGCAGCCCCTCTTTCTCCCATGTTTGTTCTCTCCAACGAGTGTACCAACCTCAGGTAAATGTTCAACTCATATGCCTATCCATTGTTTGGCTGGAAGCCACAGGCATGCATTCAATTCCAGACCTGAAGGGCAGCTAGGGGCCATAGTCTCAGTGGTTCCAACAGGTTCCACTGGGCCAGCAAACTGGTCCCCCCCTTTTTTTTTCCAAATGATTTTGAGTTTTGTTCCACATTGTTCTCCCTGTCTATCCATGATCTCCTACATAGATCCTCTTCCAAGTGGTTGACAGTAGTAGCCAGGCACCATCTAGTTCTTCTGGTCTCATAGTC